GTTTTTTTGAGAATAGTTTTGAACGACAGTTTACACATTATTTTTATAATAAATATATACGCATATAGATACGTATTTGAGATTATTGTATACCCACAAATGGTAACTTTTTCATCAACTCACTCAATTTCATTAAATTTCTTTTTCCTTAAATTCTTATTAAATCAAAGGTTCAATGAGAAAACAAACACATTATTCCGAATAAAAATACCAACATCGTAAAATTAAAACTAAATGTGGGCGAATAAGATAAGAAAAGCATATTACAAAAAAAAAAAAAACAACGAAAAAAAAAAGAAAGTCAAGTACTAAATTTGGCATTTAAAAAACAAAACAATTATTATGCGATCTCTTCCTATGCTACACAGACTTGTATGTAATGGTTATAATGCATTTAACAATATATCGGGAGTAAATAAGTCATACAATTATATAAATTTTGGAAAATTAGGCACACAGTAACATCGCAAAATTTGAACACGATTGGAAATACAGTGCGTTTTACATGCTTGAGCCGCTTAAACTTAATTTGAGAGTGGAAGATTAAATTAACAATTTAACAATAAATACTGTTTTCTTTTAGAAATAGATATAGGACTATACATATATAACATGAATGATTAAACATAATACCGACAGAATTTTTAGTTGTTTAATTTTGAATTTAAAAATAAACGCAAAAGACTGCAAATTTGCAATATTTATAAATCCATGAATTACTCGTGGTCATTCTAAAGTATGTAAGTGGTCATAATTTTATTTCACATGCTTCAATTAATCTTGAATCCAATTGAGGAGCCGGTTCTTTGCACATTTAGCACAAGAACAATGATCGGAGTGGGAGGCAAAAAAAAAGAAAAATTTCAATTGCCGAAGGTGAAAGTTTAGGTTCAGAAAACAAAATCATTTGTTCACTATACGCATTTTATCAAATGTTTTTTAAATGTTAATAGAGACGTTATAATAGAGGTGTTATTGGGGCATTTATCATGTCAGGATTATACGAGAAGTCAAATTCAGCCAATTTAACCTTGACAACTGTGAAGCCTTATAGGTGAATTGCCAAAAATAAATAAACAAAAACCTAAATAACAAAAAAATCATATTTAATTTAAATAGAGAAAGACACGATAATTTTTGTGTTGCCTCTTTTGAGGCCGGTTGGTATTAAGAATAGTAAAGTACTGATCGTAAATAAAATTGCATACGTTCCGTTATACGAGTTGAAAACCAATTTTTCGTATACATGTACACATAAATCTATGTGGCCATGTTTAATCAAAGAATGCGTGTTTAGAAAAATTAAAAACGGCGTTAACATAATACGTAAATTAAGGGTTAACTGCGTGAGTCAAAGAAAATAATTATATTTTTTAATTGCATGGAATTTATCTTAACCTTCTGTATTTATAGAATTTTAGAAAAACTTAAAAGTTCCGAAAATATAAGGTGCGAAAATTTAAATTTTATAAATTTTCGTGAGACAATAGGAAGTAAAGGAAAAAAATTTTTTTAACGAAATCCAATATTTATAAAATACGGGTTTTAGCCATATTTTATTTTCAATATTAAATTATGCTATGCCACGGGAGAAGAAGTCCGACAACACTTTACTTACTTCAAAGATCTATTTCTGTGCAAAATTTTAGCTATCTATCTTAAAGAGTGCAGAAATTTTTCAAACGGGTCTACAGGCGGACGGACGAGCAGACATCACTGTTGAGGGAGAGAGATATCGATTTTAACAAGACCGGTATTAAAACTAAAATTTCAACACTAACACCTGTAGAGTTAAACTGTCAGTGTCATTTCAACAAACTTTTGAAATGGGTGGCCAAACAAAAATAATTGTGAACACAAGGAATACAGAAAATGTAGAAGAAGTGATAGGAAAATGTGCGGAAAAAAATTAAGCAGAATGTCCACCAAAAATATTATTATAGACTAAATTCTACCTTATAAAAACTCAATTTATTACGCTTTTATCTTGCGAAATAACATTCAAATAAGTAAATGTGACAATACCTAATTGGTACTTAATAGAATAAATTTTTATATTATCTATAAAGAATAATAATAAATGTATTGTAATGAATTTTTATTTTTATTCTTGAAATCTTTATTCCTTTTTAAAACTTTTCAGAATTAAGTAAGAAAATATAGAGTTGTCCACCTCAACCCTGTGATAGCACCGAATGTTTTTTTTTCCGAAACAAACGAATTTTTTTTTTTTGAAAGAGTTCCGAAACAGCTCTTTCGGGACTTTATTTTACTTTAGGTTAGTCCCCCGTGTTAAATTTGTTTAAGTGCAATTTCAGCACTAAACCTTTATAGTCTGTAAGACAGCTGTTGTTAGAAATTAGTGAATCATCATCATATTTTATTGAAATTAATTATAATATATAATTATTAATACTTTGAACATTATAACTAACGTATAATAAATCTATGAGATGGTGAAAGCATTTTTGTCTTCTATTTAAGTTTTTATAAAACGTTATACAAAGCCGATCAAATTTTATTAAAATAGTTACTTACTATTTACTTAAACTGGGCGCGAAAGAAAATAAGTTTTGTGCAATAAAAATTTCTTAAAATGTGGTTTGCCTTTTTGAGTTTAGTGTGACTGGGGCAGTCAGACATCTAAATGAACTCGGAATTCAATACTGATCAAAAAAAGCTTATCTATATATAATTCAGAAATCTATTTCTAAGCGTTACAAACCAAATGATATATTTATAATAAATGCCTACCCTTCGAACATTCATTCGTCCGAGTATACATAAATAAATAATGTAAAACAAATTTATTAAACATACGAGTACAAACATATTATTTTTCCTCAATAAAATTCCTCAATAAAATTATTTAAATCACGTATACTCGCAACGTAATCCATAATTAAATTACAAATTAATATATATGTACATATGTATATTAAATGAAGAATACAATTGTGTGTCATGCACATAATAATACATTTTTAACACTAATTTCCTTAATATTATTAAATATTAAAAAAATTTTATTGAAATTGCATAAAAAAATTGAGAAAATCAGTTTATCCTATAGTTTTATAAAAAAAACCACAACAAAGAAACCTTGAAGGGGTTGCATTTAACCTTAACCTTGACCTAATGTGCAGTCATAACACACGCTATCATATTAACAATACTATATATGTATCTATAATACAAAACTTTAGAAGAGATATTCACAATAGAAAAACGAAAAGCATAAGCAGCATTTTAATATATAATCATATGTATGTACATATGTATAGATATACAAATATATAATTAAACTATATACTCATAGAGAGCGCGTGCATCGTCTGTAATTATTATACATATTATTATATACTAGAAACATATAAATGACGCATATACACGAATATAAATATCTACGGTATGTACTCTTAAAAATTTTCCTGTTTCGCAACAGCACTTTCTCCTTATTTACATTTTATTTATAACATTATATTTCAGATTGTACATACATACGCAAACATTTGAAAAATGTGTAACCATTTTTGTGTATAGCACAATAAAAATTATATTGTACCCAGTTCTAGTTTTTATTTTTCCTATATAAATTTTTAATACTGTTATACTTTTATTCTTTTTATTTTTTATATAAAAAGTTTAGTTGTATAATTTTGCAGAATTCCTTTTTCAGATACAGAATTGAGGAAGCTGAATTTTCATTCTATGAGTATTCATGTAATATTTATGAATATACAAATGTATAAGTTTAAGTTTATAAGTATCTTTTAATATTAACGTACATTCAAGTATAGCTATGTATACTAATATCCTGTGTAACGTATATAAATGAGAAATACATACATATATATAATTGTTTAAATATTATTATGTGTATATATCTATATTACTTAAAAAAATAAAACAAAATAAATATGTATGTATGTATATAAATAGAAAAAAAATCAATGTTAAAGGAACAACATTTTTAGATTTTCACCTGAACTTGAAATGACGTCAAATGTGAAGGTTTTATGTATGTAGGTATGTATGTACATATTTTTTTTGCTCTTGAATTTTTGATGTGTTATACATGTGCTTGTTATCATTGTAATGATATAATATTAATTTTATATATGTGTATAAGAATTTTTGTAGGATTTATTTTAACTTTATAGTTTTTCGAAGGAAAAGAGTATAAGCCCAAAGGTTTCATAATCTTTTCTGTCAACATTTTTGTATAATGAAATATAATATTAAGGCAAAAAATTACTCGAAGATGACTGTAAAATAAAAACTTAAAGATTATTCAACATTGTTTTTTGACAGGAAAAAATTTTAAAAAGTCTAAAAGCTGTGAAATTTTTATTAATAAATATTAAAAAAAAATTCTTCTAAAATACTTGCTGACATAGTAATTTTAATTTTTATAAAAAAATTAGAAGATATTTAAATAACTTAATAATTTTTAAATATTTATGTAAGATAAAAATTTCATATGATGAAAAATGTGTATGTATAGAAACAATATACGCATCATATATATTAAAGTAAAGGAGATGCTGTATATTAAGATGTATTGTACATAATTTAGTTAAATCTATGTATTCGAAATTTTTCTTAAAATTATGGACTGTATGCTCCATTTAAGTTCAATTATTCAAATATCAATTTCAATTCTATGTGTGTAGAAGATGAAATCAGAAACTAAAACTGGAATTTTTCAATATTTTATTGACAAAAAGTGTAATTGTAAAGTGTAAAAAGATATTAACATTCTATTTTAAATCTTAATTGAAACCAGATCATATACTTTATCGAAAGTTGAATGAAAAGCAAATAAAACTGGTATATAAAATTAATTATTATAATAACGGTTTAACTATATATATTATAAACAAACATACAATAAATGGTATGTAATGCACACTGAACGGCTGAAAAATTGACGATTCATTTCGCATAAAAATTGAAATTGAATTGAAAACCTGTAAAAATTTCAGAAAATAACTTACTTAAATAACTTCAATGACCCACCTAAAATAAAAAGAAAAAACAAAAAAAAAAATTTTTTTTTTGTTTTGGTAAAGTACGCGTTTTTTAAAGCTGTACTTTTTAATTTCCAAATATTTGTTTTTGTTATTATTTTCTTTAAAGAAGAATTTTCTTTTATACTGCAACAAAGAAAAAAATATTCTTTTTGTCACTAGATTGAATGTATGTATGTAACTTTTTATAATTTTATTATATTATACACATTTATTATATGTAAGTATGGAAGTATGTGTACAAAAATTTTAAGCAAAATTATGGAGGTCACGGTAAAAATTCTTATATTTTCTTTTTTTGTTTTATTTTTTTTTTCCTTTTTTTTATATAATTATCGATTCTAATTTTATTAAGTTTAAATTTTATGATATTAAATTTTTTTTTATTGTAAATATTAAATAAAATATTTTTTTTTACCAATTAACGAAAATTAATTTAAGAAATTTTAAGTTTAATTCAAAACACCTAAAATATAACTCACTTTAAATAAAATATTTAATTATTTTATGCGTTTCTTTTAGTACACGCTTAAAAATAAAAAGCTCTCTTTTTAATTTTTTTTCTTATCCGGTTTTATTTTTGCAATACTCTCGCTCTGACCGTAACGTTCGAACGATAGATGTTGACTGAAAATTTTCAATCTCTATACTCTTACTATTAATATACTGGTGTGGTGACTACTGGTAGGGAAAAATTGTAATGGAAACAGAAGAAAAACTGAATAAGAGAAAAAAAATAAGAATACAAAAAATTAAAAATCAGTTGAATTTCTGCTAAAAAAAAAATTATTGAATTGTATGAAACCAGAGTAAAACATAAAAATGAAGAAGAAGAAACAATTGCAGGCTTAAATGTTAAAAATAATTAAAAAAAACTCTACCTTTAATTACAAATTATTGTTATATAAATGTACAAATATATATATAAATAAGTTTATAATTCAATTACAAATATAATTATATTTTACTTTTGTAACAATGCGATCAAAAGATAAAATGTTAAAAATTTATCTGAATTAAATCTTGACAAATCACTTAAAAAATTATTTAAGTGCATGAAAAATGCTTATTGTAAAAATACTCGTATTTTGTTTTTACAATATTATTACATTATTAACAATTCTAAATTAACTGAGCAGTTTTTTGAATTGTACAATTTTTATTTGTTTTTTGGAAAGCGTTTGAAAACTTTAAAAATTTTTAAAGTAAATTAAATTTCAAATTAAATTCATATTTATACAACATAAACAGTAACAGTCTTAAAATTTAGTCTTACTAAAATTGAAATCAATATTTGATATACAAGTTTCCTCAATGTAAAGGGCAGCTGCTACAAAATAAATAAAATATTAAATATTGAAAATATATTCTGATAATTTAATTTCAAACTTCCACTTAAACAAGTTGGTTCACAAAAATGAACAAATGTTGGTTTGTCGGAAGTTTTGGTCATGGGTTGAATTATAACAAATAGTATATAATTACATAATGTAATTATCATTGATTTATTTAATTAATCAAATAATAATCATCGGTGTTTTTACATCATAATCGCATTCAATGAGAATTTTACAAGATAAAAGAAACTGCAACAAAATACTTTTGGATTTTTGTTGTAAAATAAACATTTAACTCAAATTTATAGATAATTTGCATATATTTAGGAGAGTAAAAAAAATTTCAAGTTTTAATTCAGAATTTTTTTTTTGTTTTCAAGAAACTTAAAATTCAAATTGAAAATAATTAATCGTTTTATTAATTATCTAGCATTAATCATTTCATAAATATAACAAAGTTTTAAATTAAAGTCTTGAATATTTGAAATTTGTTTTTACTATAATATAATTCGTTATATACATAAGTACGATACAATTATCCATTTAATTTTAATTAAAATTTTTTAAAATAGCATTTGCTTTATATTTTCCCAAAAGTAAAACTAGATATGTAAGTATGATATGTATTCCAATTGAAAATTTTTTGATATATGATAAAGTACTATCTGAGAGATTCTAACCTTTTCTGATTTTTACTCATTCTTTATATTATTGAAGCCTAAGATTTATGAAGGCTTCTGAATTCCTTAATGTTTAATTTTCCAAATAATTAAAAATCTCATAAGACGATTTTGTAATAATTTTTGTATTTAATATTATGTAATTGTTGAAAATAATATTCTTTATCATTTTCTTAACAAAAAAAGACGTTTTCTTATGAATTTTCTTATAAATACTGTTACAAAATATACATTTCAAATTGATGTTTTAAAATTATCCCTTAAAACAAAAAAACATCCCTTAGAGCCATCTGAATAAAATATAAACTGCCCAAACCCAGACGTCCTGATTCTAGGGATATCGATACCACGTTTTTCTTTACCAGCTACTACAATTTCTTAAAGTAATTTGATTCAAAATTCAAAGCAGGACTGAAAAGTTGTAATTTTAGCCAAATAAATAACTGGCTTTTAAAAAAAAACCTAAATATATTGATAAACCAAAAATAGATTTAGAAATATCGCCATTATTTATTTAATTTCACATTGATATAAACACATTGTGAGGGGGGGGGGGGGGGATTTAGTTATGATGAAAGTACATTGGTATAACATTTTCAAACTATGAAATTAAGATTTGTTGTGGTGATAAATCACAAAAAAGAGAATATGACATTACAATACTGCTGAACATCCCAATTTATAATATAATTTTTATTATTGAAAAACTAGCTCTTAACTATTGAAACAAAATTGAAAAAAAAGTTTCATAATTTAAAATTAAATATCACATTTGCGAGGTTCTCTGATTCTCGGACTATGTATTAGTTTTTACCGTTTAAGTGCAACAAAGAGTAACCCATCGAATTCACTATTTATAACAAGGATCACGTGGCGAAAAAAATATATGGTAAAAAGTTTAATATAGGGAAAAATTGAAATTTGTGATTGTATATGAATCACTGATTTTCAAAACCTTAGAAAAAAGTTCCGAAGTTCCTCGAATCAATGTCTTTTTTTTTTAAATAATTGTAAATTCAAAATTCAATCCAAAATCTAGCTTTGTTGTATTAAATTTAAATTAACGTTTGATTGCAGGTACGATTTTAAGGTTCATCTTAATTTGATGGTTAATAGAGAATTCTATTATACCTTTTGTCATAATGTAAACTAGGGAGTTCAATAATCCTTTTGAAATCTTTATGTCACATTTGCGAGGTTCTCTGATTTACTTTTCTCTTTATCGTAATTTTGATATAGATTGTATTGTGGCCGTGCAGAGGCGTTTGCTTAGTTCTGATCTTCGTAGTATGATTTAGTCGAAGCCGCTTAGATTTCATAATCGCTTAGGTCAATTATGATAAGGACTCTACGTAGCATTAACTTTGTTTCATTATATTCTTAACTTATGCGACGCAATATTCCATCATAGTTTGGTAAACTTTTGGTTTAGGCTTTAAGTTACATATAATACATGGAACTCCCGCTGTTATAGTAATGTGAACAGTCGATAACTGATAACCACGTTTCTTACCTTAGTGACGTTTATAGGTTAAATTCAAGTTTCAATTTTTAAAAATATTATAAGTTTTGTAAAACCGTTTCCTTTTTCGCGATAATTTCTATAATTACAAATACATACACGATTTACAGGAGTTGAACCAAGTTTACAAAACAATTTTATAAAGGTTTTAACAGCAAATAAATCAAAATCGACTTAAAAGGAAAGAATTTTTCAAAATACTTAAAATAAGCATGAAACGTTCTGTGCTATGGAAGATGGCAGGAGTAACATGTTATATTTTTGGTTTATTTTTTTAATTTCCTATAAAAATGAAAGTGGCCAAGAACAAAAGACTTCACAGTCTGTGTGTGTGTGAATAAGAAAGTGTGTGTGATAAATTTGACACAATATCGAATATAAAAAACAAATAATTTTTAATTTAAACTCAAAATATAAAACAAACTCACATTTTCTTTTAAATTGCATAAAATAATGTAAAGATATTTTAAGCCTCAACTTTTAAATTCTTAAAACAATGTGATATTTTAAGCTTTTAATTCACTCGAAATACTAAAATATCAAAAAAATTGTTATAAAATTGTAATTAAAAGAATCTTTATCTCTAGTTTCCTTCACTTAACTTTTAATTTTTATGTATTGTGGACAAAAATTAAAAATGAAAGTGTAAAGTAACCATTATTAATTACCATTATTGGCCAAATACACCAGTTCTCTTTATTCCAATGTCAACACTGTTAGATAATCGCATTTCTACTATAACTTTTATGAGTGTTTTTCTTATAGTAAACCAAAACGAATCTACATATTATTGTAATTGTAAAACATAAATTAAACTTCGTTATTAAATTTGCTATAGGTACTTGATTCACAAATCAATTATGAATTTTTTACAACCTGTTAATCAATTTAAAAGATCATGTTGTTTCAACAACTCAATTTAAAATTAAATTATTTCACTACAAAACGATCGCATAAAACTGTTTTTTTCTCTTTTTTATAAAAAAAATGGATTGATCTTGCAATAATAAGATAGCAAACTCAATTAGCGTTCAATATTTCCTTTGAACGGATTTCATATGTTCAACATTTTTCAATAAAATAATGAAAAACTAAACAGGTTATGTTGAAGCGAAACAGTTGGCATCTTCAAATAATTGAATGTTTGATTTTTGAAAAACCAAAATTCATTAAGTGCGATCAAGTAAATTTTATATAAAAAATTAAAACTTAAATTATTAAAAACTTAAGTTTTATTTTTAAGGTGATGCTGAAATGATGTAAGTGTAATCAATGACTACCAAGACCTTATCGAAGAAATATGTTAATAAAGCAATTTTATTGAATGCAGCCAGAATAGAAATGGTATATAATTGCAAAAAGTAATTTATGTGAAAGTAAAATTTTCCACAAGAATAGATTACATTTTCAAATTACGAAATAGGTTGCCAACGTAAGTTCATGCTCATAATATATGTCAATATCTTAAATATGCTAAAACTAGTTTTACAACTTTTTTGGTCATTCTTCATAACTTTTGTAACAATTCAAACAACTTGACATTAATTTGATCATGCGAACAAATAGCTAGTTTTGAGTCTTCAATTAAGTCAAGTAATGATGTGTTGTACAATAATGAAAAAGGAAATTAAGAAAATTGGAATCGGAAGGAGGAAATTCGATTTTCGAATTCCTTTTTTCGCTACATTCAACGGATATTTCAGTTTTGTTACTTAAAAAAAAAAATTAAACAATAATATAAGGTGTAACAAGGAACTAATTTTAAATATTGTTATAGTTTTTAACATTTTTCTTTAAGAACCTGTAATAAAAAGGAAATAAATTTTGCGTATAATAATCTGCTACACTCTATAATTACTTTTACCGTTACCACTTTTTATGTGCGTAGTATGAGGACATAAACCGCTCATCCCATCATTATAAAACTTTGGAAAGATCAATAGAACGGTACGGTGATGGTTAAAAATAAAAAATCTGAAAAACTTGCCAATTCGAAAGCTACATCCAATTTTCGAAACCTTTTAAGCCTTGTTATTGCAAAATTGTGGACAATGTATTCTATATCACTTTTATACTAAAGCTGACAAATGCGGTAATACGTCGCAAAGAAAAATTCTAAATTTTTATGAAAAAAGCTTAATTTTTGACAGCTATTCCAAAAAACAAAAGGTGCTTTTTCAACACATCATTAAATTAACTGTAGTTTGTTTATCTTCCAGCCGTTATTGTGCCATAAGAACAAAAATCGAATACACTTATGCTTAAATTTCCATTATTCTGTACGGCAAAGTTTTCCTGGTGCGCAAGTTTTTGTTTGGCTCTCAAACATTTTTAGTTGCTAAGAAAAAATGCTTTAACTTCCTTTTAATTTTAAAGCATTTTTCAGTACGTTGCTTCTTCCCCGGTTTAAACGTAAACAAAAACCATTTTATAAAATTGTTTTTATTTACTTTTTATTATTTCCGATATGTAAAATTATTTTTTCTAAAAACATTTAATAAAGTCGAAATGAAAAAACGTTGCTATGTAAAAATAATACTAGAATTACATGGCGTAAGTTTTCCATGAAGTAAAGTTAAACTTTAAAATATGCGTTCATTAATAGATTTGTAATATATTTAAAGGTAACATGCCCGGGTGTTTGGCTATGTACCTCTGGTTATTTGGAATTGACAATTAAAACACTTGGATATTTTTTTAAAAGTGGTCCAATGGAACCTAAATTTCCTATGTTATGTCATGACGTATTCATAATGGAGGGATATTTTCCATCAGTTCGTAACTTTAATGAATTAGATAAAGTTTTAGCAACTGAAAATATTGAAGCATCGTTATGGCAAAATGGTTGCAGATTAGCATATTTTATTGGTAAAATAAAACAAATAATCTGCAATTCGTATGTTGAAAATTCCACTATCCAAATATTAATGAATCCTAGTCACAATTTTCCGGTATGTAATAAGAAAAATAATAATATTTTATTTAGAGGTTGTTCAAATGTTGTACAACAATTTAGTAAAAGAAAAAATTCTAAAAGTAATTTGGTAATTTAATAAAATTAATTATAGGGAATTATTGCACCAAAACTTGAACTAGTGTCATATGTTTTTTTTGAAAATCGAACTCAACTTGATGAAATTCAACACACTTGTAACAAATTCATCCAAATGAAACAAAACGAATATAATTTTGTTCCTAATAAAACAATACAAACTGAACCTGATAAAAGATCTCTAGAAGCACGAATTCAAAGACAAGTTTGTCATACGAAAAATGGGCGGTAAAATACATACACAAAAATTATTAAAACTTATTTAATTCTATCATTATATGCAAATTTTTTATTTTAGAAAGCATAATTTCGAAAAAAGTAACCCTGATTGGCGATTTTTTGACTCTTCACGAAAATCTTCAAAAAACGTCGATTATAAGAATAATGAAAGACGTTCCAATGATCCAACAGTAGAATCAGTACCATCTTTAAAACTTTTAGAAAGTTCTAGGAATAGTTCTACTGATACTGGAAGTACTTCGGGACAGTCAAAGTGAGTTCAATTTTTTTTTTTTAATTTAAAATTTAAAATATAAAATTTTTGAATACAAAAGTCATTAGTGAATCAAAAAAATATTATGAGAATTATGTCGTGCAATCTTACCTAACAATACATTTATTTATTATTTTTTAAAGAAATTTATTTTTGAAGAAATGGTTGAAAATGTTATATTCATCTTGGGGTTAATAAGTTTTGGTTTGAAAATAGAAAAGTGTAAAAAATTTAGTCCGTTCATTACCAAAAATACTATATATTTAATGAGAAAATATAACAACACATGTTAAGAAAAAAAATAAAGCTATAAATAACAAATATTTAAGTAAATGTAATTTAGAAAAATTCGGCTTACATACTGCAAAGCCGAGCATCTTTTTAAAATGACTTTTTAACATATTAAATTGCAAAATAAAAAAATTAAATTTATTTAATTTTATTTTAGCCAATCCTTAGAAATGCAACATAGTGGCAAAACCTCAACCCGGCACTCAGAAAATTGTGATATTTGTCGAACATATGAAAGAACTTTTAGAACATCCACTTAACATCCATTTACGACAATAATTTTACCTAAATTATTTCTTAAATTTTAGAAAAAAAAAAATTTCAGTTTATGTATGTATAATATGTTCCAGTATGTATTTATTATGAGCGTGCAATGAATTTATGTGAAATATATGTTATTCACGAATATATCTAAATATATTTATTCTATTTAATTAATTTCAACAATGATCAAAATGGTTTTGGCATATTTTCCTGCCAAAAAAAAAACTATCATAAATTTGATTTCGTCATAACTTCAAATTGTCCTTTTAATGTCAAAATAGTTTCGAAATTCAATTTGAATTTTAGTAAAAATATATTGTTGTATATCCAAAAATGAAATAACTGAAGTCAAAATATTTGGAAATTTTACTCAAGGGTTTTATAGACGCTATAGGAACAAATTCGTGGGTATTTAACTTTTGATTTTTCCATAAAATACGAAAAATTTAATTTAATTCGACAACTTCAAGCAACTCGCTTGAGATCAAAACTCTTGTTGGCTATAACTTTATATACAATGTAATAAATTTTAAATTTTCTCCCATATTTCTCATTAATCATATCTCTCATCTTCTCTCATAATAATTAACAACATTTAAATATACTGAACTAATTTGCACTCTATAGAAATAACTTAGAAATTTGTACAAACAATGGAATTAGTAATATTTATTTAGTGTTACGTGATCCTTTGACATAATTTTATAATTTTGAATAATAAAACAAAAAAAAAAATTTTAATTTATTATTAAAATTTTATTTTTCCGGTGAACAACTTAAAGGTACAAATCTAAGTATGTATAACCTTGCTGTCAAATATTATTTATGAAAATTATGCAAAATGATTAAAATAGAGCAGGACATCTATTACGTGTATTTTAATAATAAAAAAATATAAAATTTATAATAAAACTATCTTAACGTCCTTAACAAAATTTATAAAAACAAAATATAAAACAGAATATGTAAATATACGTTACATTCATATACACACATATATACATAAAAATAGAATTAAAAACTTATTTATAAAACATTTCTAAAAAAAATCCTTAAAAAGTCCTTAAAATTATGTTCCAATGTTAATATCATGGCCGTATAATTTGACATTGAAAATACATATATACAATAAAAACGGAAATACTGACATTGAGACGCCTTCACCCTTGCAAACCTTCAACTTAAACCGAATGGAATTCATTAAAAATGACATTTACATATTATATAAACACATATGCAGGTATATGCACGAATGTTTACTATTTCCTTTATTTATGCATATAAACCACACACATAGAAAGCAAATACATATTATATTAACAAAAATTTTCAAGTTCACTATTTATTATAAATTTTACATAATATATGTACATAATTATATAATATTCTTATATTATATTCACTGTTTATTGAATGTACATATACACTATGCACAAACAGCATGCAGTTCAAATATTATGAAAATGCACTCCTAAATGGAATTAAATGTGTACAATTGAGATGCATGTGCAATAAAAATCCAAAAATACAATTCAACTTAATACATATACAAAAAACAAGACCATTACAGCTCTGCAATTCAGCAGAAAATCCAAGAACATAAACCAAACTGCTTACAAAAAAAACTGATTTTAAATTTTTACAGACCGGAAATGAAATCTAAATATTTAAAATATTGTACCGATACATTTTAGCTTAATCAATTTTGTTGCAGCTTTAAAATTGTGAGTTATCATTATCTTACACATTAAAGCAATTATGAATGTTAAATTTCTGTAAATTTCTGTAAATTTTTTTATGGTATATTCTTATAAAATCAGATTTTACCGTTACTTTATTTTAAAAGTCTAAATCGAGTCAAAAGTTTCATGCTTGCATTTTTACTATAATATTGCTTTCTGTTGTCAAAACATTTTTATAGATTTTATATAACGGTGTATTGTTGTGTATAAACTTTATTATATAAATTATTTTCTGTTAACAAGAATTTTACACTTTTCTTGCTTTTCTAACATAAATTTTTTCCACTTAAATATTTGCTCTACTCACAACATACATTTACCTTATTCTTTTTTGTATATTTTCCAGCAGCTTTTGAGCGTTTTATTTTTTGAGTGAGATCAAAAACGAGCTTTTAAAATGTAATTTTTGTTGTGCTTTTTTTATTAAATACTACACGTAATTTTTTTTATTAGAAAAAGCATATTTACAGACTTCAGAGTCGGTGCTTTAAAATTTTTTCATTGTTAGAATCGATAATTAAATAATTTTTTCTATTATCAATTGGATTAGATCAGAAATTTATACCTAGTGATCAGAGTCAGGATTAGAATCTAATTTGAAATTCAAAAAAAAATAACACGCTTGAAGAAACTGAGTGGTAAAATTTTTATTAAATCGGATCATTAAACACAGTAAAACAGTGCCCAATATTTTACCTTCTCTTAAATCAACTTTATAACATTGTGAAAAACGTAAATAAATTTAACAAAGGTCTAATTTAATTACTAATAGTTATGTTCAAAGTATAACGTCTTATTTAACTTAATGGCACTTTTACTCTGTTTCAATTTTACTGTGTATTGTTTCACAGAAATTTTTATATTTTACAGAGTAATCTTCTGTTCTAGTTTTGTTATTGCCTTTGAAGAAATTTTTCTTGCATTTCTAAATTTTCGTCGTGCGGCGAAGCTACCATGAGTATCGCAATTCAAAACTGTTTTGATGTTACATGATAGTTGAAATTATATTGCATATGCATCACGTTATGTTTTTGCTGTATTGCGTTTGGCATTTATTGTTTTGCAGTATTGCATTTAGGAAAATCTCTATTATTTCAATAGAAATTTTTACATTTCCTCAACGATATATCAGTAAAAATTATTTTCAACAATTAATAATTTTTTCACCTTTTCGCTTATACAAAATAAAATGGATGTATTTTTATGTCAAAGTGACATATTAATCTGCCTTGAAGTATGCAATATATGAAAATATGTAAATATTCTTATTTCATTTTATTCAAATATAGTGCTAAATAAATTTTACAGATTTTTTAAACGCAATCAATATCGAAAAATAAAATTTTAAGCAACCAGTCAAAATACTTTTTATATGTATAGTGTACCATTTTTTCGAATGTTTACACATTTATAAAGCGAGTGTTTTTTTTATACAGAAAGCTGTCCAGTACAAAAAAAGTTTTCATCAGATTAAAAAAGATAGAGAAAAGATAAGTGAAAAATGATTGTTAAAAGAAGCTTGAAATTGCTGCAGTAATATTTAGTATAGGTAAAAGCTTTTCGACTTGCATAATTTGAAAATCGTTTAGTAACTACTAGTTGTAGTAAAGATCTTGTGAAGACGGTAATATATTGAAAAATATCCGCTTTTTTTTTTTTAATTTTTTTATCTATTACATCTACATCGATGTACTTAAGTATACAGCTATACATACGCATATAAAATACATAAATATTTCTGTCTTGTTTTTTCTTGTACTATTATAGCAGTGCATCTGATTTGATAAAATCAAAACAAAGCATCTGAGAAAAAAAATGTATCCGACAAAATTTGGTGATAAGATAAAAAAAAATTTTAAATTGCATGCTGCGCATTTTTTTAAATAATACAAAAAGAAAAAATAAAATTTTAATGAATGATTTCTGCCATAGTGAAAGTGAATTTAAAATTTATAAAAAAAAAGCAAAAAAAAATATTTTATATATGTATTTTAAATTTTTTTGTAAAAGTTTAAAAGAATTTTAAACCTATATAATAAAAATTTTATACAAGAAAAAATTCCAATTACTAAAAAACAAAAAAGAAAATGCGTTCCACAGAACTTTATAGAAAAGGTATACAGAAAAATTCTTTTACATCTTTAGCCCCCATAAATGGTAGATTATTTTTCTTACTATTTATTTGATCTGTTCTATGGCAAAAAGGAAAAAAAAACCTTGAATTAGAATTGTTAGTCAAGTCGAGTAAATCAAATTATTATGTAAATCATTTCTGAAAGATTTTCAAAGAATCTAATAGAACAGAACTTCGATAATTCAAGTTAATAATTTTATTTAACAATTTTATTTAGCCTGGAAACTCTGGTTTCCTCTGGAGAAATTTTATTAGCACTTTCTTTTTAACCAAGTTTTAAAAAAAGGCAGTGCTTTTCTAAAAAATGATTAAATAAAACTTTTTGAAGGGTGGATTTGATCATGAAGTATTTCAATATATTGCATCTCAATTGTATACTAAGTTGAATTGGACGATTTTTCCTTATTGCCATAGCACATTTTTTTTGCCATTTTTTTTAATTTAAATATTTTTTTTATTTTTATAATTGCAAAAAGAACATTTTAATTGTCATACATTTTTTCCTATCATAACTGTGGTACCTGTATTCATTCTTATTTAATTCTATATAACAAATAATCAAATTTTAAGCTAATGGTCGTTAATTACATACACATATTTATAATAGTATATACAAATATACTACATATTTATATTTACATTTCATTTTCAAATTTAATAACATTAAACATTGTGAATGACTTAAATTATACCAACAACAATTATTATTGAAAGCTTTGATATACGCGAGTATAAACACAACTTAATGGTTTTAGCTGGTTGTAGTTAATTAAAAATCAGTTGTCGTTCTTAATTTGTAAACTTAATATTGTTTTTCTATACTTTTTTCTTCAATTAATATTATCAAATTCTTTGATTTCTTTATATACATATGTATACCATTCAAATAAGGGTTAGGAACATAATTTTTATGGAATTTAGGTTAGAAAATCAAAAATAGAGTTGTTAAACTTTGGTTTTTAGTTTTATGTTTCTAATAATTAGAAACTTTTTATTTTTCATATAGTAAATAATAGCAACATAGTTATGCTTATATTATACATTTGTATGTATGTATTATTGTATAACAATTATACGTATGTATATCTTTTTAAAATAGTCTGTACCTCAAGTAAGCACACATATAAAAGTATAAATTAATTACAATTAAACAATAATACTTTTATGCTACATAATCAAGTGCATGACATTTTTAGGTTAGAATTTTTGCATAAAACAGAATGAATACTCAAATAACATAATAAAGTTATATATATATATACATATATAAAGAAATGTGAACTTTTATATTAGATGTTTTTCATTTAATGCACATACAAATGCATTTTATGATATTTAACACCTTGTAATATCAAATATTTTATTTTTCATATAATATACAGAAAAATATAATACAGAATTGAGTACTGAATATACATTACGCAGTGCTATCATTGTGCACAATGCATATATACATTGGTTATAACAAAATGTATAACAATTGAGTGCATTCAAATATTCATTTTCATTATAGGGACATGAAATAAATGGAATTTTATAAATGAGAATACTATCAAGTACATGAACTTGATCATAAGTTCCTGGATGTGTTCATTTTAAGTGTATACATATTGACATAAAATATTAAAGTAATGGAGAGCAATTTGTGTACATGGAACACTGTATATATAGAAATAAAAATTTACTTATAAATTTTTATTTTAAAGTTTTAACATTTATTTTCATAGAAAAATTTATGGCCACCTATTGAGATATACGCACGTTGTTATATTAAAGACTGATTTATATTAAAGACTGGTGTAGTTTGAAATGTTATATTTTTGGAGTGTTTTTAACATGGCATTATTAAATAAATTGAAAATATATTCCCTTTCTTTGGTATTTTACAAAAATTAAAACCCGTAAAATTTAATCGAAACCCTGATTGATTCATATGGAATCCTTTATTCAATAACTATTAAAAAATTTAAAAAAAATTGAAAATATTCAATTGCTTAACAAAGTTAAGAATTTTTAACTATTACCAGTACGTTATTTATTTCTTTTCATAATTACCTGTCTTAATTTATTTTATTGTGGTTAATCATAGGATTACATCATCAATAGTAATTTTAAAATTATTTAAGCATCTTTATATCATATTATATTATAAAAATTTTTTAACTATACATCATTCATATAGAAACACATGCATACTCACCTATATATATAAATATAAACTAATGTTAGTGATAATATAAGCATAATAAATTCAGATGGGATATCAAAATATGATAATTGTCATTTTATTAAAAAATTAATATTCTATAAATTAATATCCAAATTTTATCAGATTCATAACACTTCACAATTGAATATGAATACGATTTGAATTAATTAAATGGTTTAACCTGTTTAGTCTTAAAAATTGTTTTTCGAACATTCTTATCCGTATTTGATTAATTCAGTTGTAAATACTTTCTATATATGTATGTATATAATACATTTGTAGCATATATATATTTAACAAATAACTACGAGAAATTATTGAGAGCTGTTTACCTAAATTAAGTGAAAATTCATAACAATTAACATTTGCGGAAATTAAATTTCGAAAATATTCATAAACACTTGTTACTCTTACTTAATATTTGAAATAAACTTGACAACATATAACCTTATATTTCCGACGATCAAAAATTTTTTACTGTCATCAAATTTAATTTTCAAACAACCAAAATACATTTAAGTGTTGAAAATCACACTGTGTACATTTCAATATGAATTTTCTTTTTAAATTAAATTTAAAGAAAAAAAATGTAAAATCACTTTAATACCGTATGAATTCCACGATCAATAAATTTTAGTTATGCTTTCTTCTTTGATATATATAGGTTTTTAAATTATTAAACAATATTATTGTGAAATTAACAGTTAATATCCATAATTCGCATTCTTCATTATCTGTACATACTCGAACTGAGTTCAAATATTAACATAAAAGCAGATAAAAATAAAATTTTATTTCTATTATTATTTCAAATAAACATGGTTTCTTATATACACAAATATTCACACAAAATGTTTACAAAATAAAAGATTTCATTAAGAAATTAAAAAAAAAAAATTAATTTAAAAATATTTTGTTATTAAAATTCAAAGCGTTAAGCATAAATTATTGAAAAAAATACCTTAACAATATTTTCATCTACAGAAATTTCATCTTTTGGGGGCAAAAAAAAAATTTCAAAAATTTTTTTCGAATTTTGTTCTTTGCAATATATGAGTACGAATTATTTTCGCATTTATAATCAGTTTAAGTACTGGTTTTAATAAAGTTTTAAGAATTTATTTTGTTGCACATAATGAATGTTTTGAATTCATACGACTGTCGAAAGTACCAACACAGAAATCTTCTTTATAACACAAATTATCGTACCTTAAAATACTTTAATTTTAATTCAATTGTTTGCCAAGGATTACTTATTACTCATTTATTTCGCATACCATTACAGTTGCGTCAAAAAATGTTGAAAAATTTTATATTACTGTCAAATTACGTCACCAAAAAAATACCGTTACTTAAAACATTTTGAAAAATTCATTTGACACCACGTCTGAACTAAAACTAGTATGACACTCGTTTATTTTCGCATATCTAAAAATACCAGTATACCTAGAATAGCCAAAACTTTATCCTGCTTTATATAAAATCAACCAAAAATAAAAATTTGCCTTTAATAACGCCTCTTAAAGGCGTTAAATTCCTAAACTGATTGAAATGGAGGCCTGTCGTGGAAAATTTTTTCCTTACTAACGAAGATACATACAGTGATATATATAAATGCATCACTATGGTGGTTACTACTAAATTATAATTATTGCAAATAATTCTTAACATCTCTAAACAAAAATCCGTTTCAAAATTAATTTTATTTATGAATAAATATGAAATTTTTAATGAAAAGAACTTCATAATAAAGTTGGGTCAAACCAATGGTTTGTATTGTAGCACTTTTCCCTTCAACAAGTGAAAATTCTGCTTTAAATACAGTCTATGTATACCTATCACACTATTAAAATTATTTTCATTCATATGCAAAGCAATTTCTAAAATTGCATATATTTAGGATGACGCATATATGTAGCCTTTGAAATAAAGCAAAAATTAATATAAAGTGGGGTTAACAAAATACTTGATTTTAAGATTTAATTGTGTGAGTTAAGAACAATAATTATACTTTTTAATGTTATGGAATTTACCGTTAGCTTTTTGTTTATAGAAATTTTAAAAAACTTGCGGTTTCGTAAATATAAGGTATCAAAAATTCAAATATTACAAATTTCAAGAGGCGATAACTTGAGAGGGGATGGAGATGGAAAAAAATTTTCTTCTAACAAAATAAACTATTTATTAACGTCTAAAAGCCCCTAAATTTCAACCTTCTACAGGCAGGGGTCTAGAAGAAAAACGACATCAAAAATTTGGAAAAAAAGGACTTTAGATAACGGTAAATTTGAACGGCCATATTGTTTTTCTAAAGTTTAACTATAGCATACCGCGCTAGAGGAAGCAAGTCACTGCCTTTCTGCGTTCGCAAAATTTCAAAAATGCTTATTTTGTTATAATAATATATATACTAAATGTTTCATTGCAACAAATAGTTGAAAAAGGCCATTTTTAGGGTTTTGGTGGGGTATAACTTCTAGAGGGGGGGAGATAAGTAAAAATTTTATTTAACGGAAATAAGTTTCTAGTAAAGGTCTATGTAGGTGTTAAATTTCAGCTTTCTGTCTTCAAGGGTGTAGAAGTTTTGTAAACAAAAAAAGTGTCCACGGAACGACGGACGGACGGACGGACGGACGGACTGACGGACGGACAGAGTTAAACTAATAAGCACTTTTTTTCAAAAATTTTTTGAAAAAGTGCTAAAAACGACCATATAGCATATAAAAACATTATGGCCTTTCCGTTGTATTTCGATTCAATGTAAATATTTTA